AGCTCATTGGTTACTTAAAAGTATATTGTTTAACTTCCACATATGTGTGAGTTTTCCAATTCTCTTTTCTCTCTCTCTCTTTTTTTTTTTTTTCTCTTTTTTTGAGAGAGACAGTTTCATTCTGTCACTCAGGCTGGAGTACACTGGTACAATCTCAGCTCACTGCAACTTCTGCCTGCCCGGTTCAAGCAATTCTCATGCCTGAGTCCCGAGTACCTGGGACTACAGGCACATGCCACCACACTCGGCTAATTTTTGTATCATTAGTAGAGATGGGGTTTCGCCATGTTGGTCAGGCTGATCTCAAACTCCTGACCTCAAGCAATCTGCCTGCCTCAGCCTCCCAAAGGGCAATTCTCTTTCTCTTATTGATTTCTAGTTTCATTCCATGGTAGTTGAAGGACATTTGCCATATTGTTTCTATCCTGACTACTATTTCATGGAAAAACATAATTAACTAAAGCAGCAGGCTATGATCTGGGCTATCCAAAGAGACTCTAGTCCAGTAGATAAAGGCTAAGAAGTCAGGGAATTTAATTCTGTTCCTTTGGTCACTCTGAAGATGCAGAAGGGACCACTGATCTCACTGCTATAGTAGAGGCCCCCATGTGTGGATCTGCTCTTGCTCAGCCATTGGCCTGGAAGAGGGGCAAAGGTCATACAGGAAATGGATCCTGGTGGAGAACTCTGAAGTCTATAGGTAGAGAAAATTGTAATTGCTGAAGGTAAATTTCACATTTTTCACAATGATTTATTTTTTCTTTTTCTTTTTAATTTTCCTATAGCACTCTTTCCATTTCTTACCCCAGTTTTTGAAGTCCTAAATATCGGTTTGTTTCCAAAAGATGTTACCCGTTTTTTAAAAAATTCCATTGAAAGGATGAAAGAAAGTCGCCTCAAAGATAAACAAAAGGTAAAATCTGGTGGTGGTGACATGAGAATGTTCACTTTTTTATTATGTTTTTGGGCTGTTTACGTATGATCTGTGCACTTATCTGTGTTTTTTAGAGGCAGATAGAGAACTTTAGAGCAAGAGGGTTTTTACATTTTGCTGGGAATAAAGAAGGTGAAGCTTGGGGAAGAAAGAGAATGAGTGAAACAGCATTTGGAATTTAATAATAGGCAAGACTTTAGTATATTATGGCATAAATAATGTAGAGATAGAAGCTTTACCGCTTCTCTTCCTTTCAGTAAATTGTCAATAAATTTGACTGTATAAAATTGTCAATAAATTTGACTTATAAAATTGCCAATAAATCTGACTGGATAAAAATGACTGCATAAAATTATTTTATGGGTATTACAATTTCCTCAGTTCTTAGATTAGTAAGGAATCATTTCAAGTCCAAGCCTGCTATTTTTACACTTTCTTCAGCAGAAGTCCCTACCAGGCTACCTGCTGAAGTAAGTGTATGTTAAATTTCAGTCCTGTCATAGCCTGGACTGGGCAGGAGTCTTCTCTGGGCATTGTGGGTGCAAGCTGACTGACCCAGCTTTGCCTTCATGAACCCTGGAGACCAGCCCGATGATGATGCCTCAAAGTCAGGAATGCAGGACTGGGTCCCCTAGGTGACAGTGAACGTTGTATAGAGTTCTAGGAGTGGGGAGTATTTGAAGATGCATTCAAAACAGCTCCCCTGGGATTATCCTGATATTAATCTATTTGTCCATTGGTTAAGAATAAAGCCAGGAGAACAAATAGGATTGAAATTCAGGACTTCTTCCTGTTCAAGAAATTATGACTAGAGAATGAGCTGACATCTCTTTGGCCAGGAAGCTGTGTCCAAAGGCCAGAGAAGCTGAGGATCAGGGAGAGCAAAGACAAAAAAGCAGAGAGACATGACAAATGGATTTCTCTCAAGGAAACATCCTGCTCTCCAAGGTTTTAGATGCGTGATTTTATTCTAAACATTGGTGACTCAGGCAACACCCATTACACTTCTGAACTTAAAGGCAGCATAGTCTCAGGAGGGGTGCTTAGGACTGGACTCCTGATTCACTTCTGACGTCACAAGTGACTTTCTGTCATTAAATTTCTCTTTTTGCTTCTAGCACCGAGTAGATTTCTTTCAACAGATGATTGACTCCCAGAATTCCAAAGAAACAAAGTCCCATAAAGGTAACCAAGGACTGTATCCGGGGGCTATTGATGGGGACAGTTGGAGAAAAGGCCCTGTTCTGAAAATGTGCAGAAAGTTTTCCAGGAAAATGAGAATTTCTTCAACATTCCAGAAAGGCACACATTTGGATGTTATAAACAATAGCTGGAGGCACTTTCTAGAAGCACACAGGCATAGCCACATCCCAGGCTTGAAGGGCAACCCTGAACAAGTGTGGCATGCCTGGAGGTCGGTCCGTGATCTGTGGATCACCCGCATCAGATCAAATGCCAGTTCTCAGCCTCCTCCAGATCCACTTACTCAGAACCTCTGCTTGGAAACATACATCTAACATCCAATCGGGAGACACACTGTCCAAATAAGGGTGATTTTAACTGGAAACACTTGGTGAAAGTGTGTTTACCAGGTTAATCTACTGACGGGTTTTATTTTTCCCCTATGTAATGAAAAGTAACTGTGGGAAAACCTCTAAGACTGTGTAGTGCCCTTTTCCTCTTCAATTTTTCGCCTACTAGTTTCACCACCCATGGATGGTTTTGACTGAAACCATCATTACTATGATGGTTGCAAAATAATGACCATGATCGATTTCAAGCCACCAAGGTTTGACAACCATATGACATAATTGTGAATATTAACAATTAATTCTAAAGAGCAAGAAATGGAGGCGGGGCATGGTGGCTCACATCTGTAATCTCAGCACTTTGGGAGGCCAAGGCAGGTGCACCTGAGGTCAGGAGTTCGAGACCAGCCTGGCCAACAAGGCGAAACTCTGTCTCTACTAAAAATACAAAAACTAGCCGGGTGTGGTGGCGCACACCTGTAATCCCAGCTACTTGGGAGGCTGAGGTGGGAGAATCGCTTGAACCAGGGAGGCAGAGGTTGCAGTGAGCCGAGATCCCACCATTGCACTCCAGCCTGGGCAACAGAGTGAGACTCTGTTTCAAAAATAATACTAAATAAATAAAATAAGTTAAAATAAAGAGCAGGAAATGGTTAACTCAAACACACCGTTGTAAATATGTCTTCATCTACTTGTCTATCTATGTGTCATGTATCATCTGTCCATCTGTCCCAATACAACTTTGTGTGAAAAGGGAAACAGTCTATCGTTTCATTGCTCGATACAGACATCACTAGATACATGTGGCTATCGAGTACTGAACATGTAGCTGCTGCCACTGAAGAACAATTTTTAAACATATCTAATTTTAATTAATTAAATTTAAGTAGCCACCTGAGGCTAGTGCCTATCCTACTGGGTAGCAGATCTACACTTTGAGATTATGATTTCATTTCAATTCCGTGTCCTGGGGTTCATGCCAACTGAATAAGATAATTGGAAAGTTGAATTTACCCACAACATCATCACAAAAATTATCACCAGTAAATCACAACTCTGTAGACCTTTCTCACACTCATCTTGTATTGTTTTCAGTTATGAAATACATGGTTGGAGTGGGCACCATATTTATTTTAGTACCCTAGGTCTCTAAATGTCTTAATCCAGTCCTGATCAAACAGACCAATGGCTGACTGTGCTAAGCTTTTCTCGAAAGAAATATCAAGAGGGAGGCCAACCTCTAGTCATAAACGCTGTTCAGTGAACATGAAGTGGAGCAGAGAGAATCGGGCCAGGATGGAATAGGCACTATGAATTCCACTCACGGGACCCTACTGTTTTTATATTTCATGTTGGCCAATGCCCATCTATAAATGCATTCTTCCTGTTGTGTTATTATTATTATTATTATTTGAGATGGAGTCTCACTTTGTGGCCCAGGCTGGAGTGAAGTGGCCTGATCTTGGCTCACTGCAACCTCTGCCTCCCGGGTTCAAGCAATTCTCCTGCCTCAGCCTCCCGGGTAGCTGGGACTACAGGCGCCCACCACCACACCCAGTTGTGGATTTTTTTGTATTTTTAGTAGAGGTGGGGTTTCACCATGTTGGCCAGGTCTCAAACTCCTGACCTCAAATGATCCTCCTGTCTCAGCCTCCCAAAGTGCTGGGATTAAAGGCTTGCACCACTGTGCCAAGCCTCCTGCTGTTTTATTAAAACCATTCACTGGACTACAGTCAATCACCTCACTTCTAGATTTTTGTCTTTGTAGCTTTGGTATATCCAGAGATCATCCATTTTGAAGACTTGTGCCCTAGGAACTCTATTACTTGATGTCACTCAAAGGTGTAATCCATGCTTCCCAAGCCATGCTGGGCACAAAAATTACCACACCTCATGAAAGTTCAGATTTTGATTCTGCAGTTTGAGGGTAGGGTTTGAGATTTTGCATTTCTAATAAGCTGCCAGATGCTGCTGGTGCTGCTGGTCCACGGACCACACATTGAGCGGCAAGAGGTGATCTGTAGCCCAATTTTCTTCCCTTGGGTTCCCTCCAACATGCTTAGATAAAAGATCCTTTATATTTCCCTAAAATCAAACCTTAGCATTGCAAACTCTCTCATTGTTTGTTAAGCTATATTGTAGCTACAGTAATTTAAACTGGGGAGAATGTTACTCCATGTTTACTTACAGGTAAAGTACTTTTATGATTATCCAAGGGATATCCCCATAACACTGAGTATGTTAGACAGAAATGCTCTCTCTGAAAGTTACCCAGCTGTGCAACTGGTGGGGATGATATCATGAGGAGTGGATGGCCCACAATCGCGTAGACCCTGGAAAAAAACTGGATTAAAATGATTTTGCCTTGTTCTAGCTCTGTAGCATACACATCAGAGTGAAACCACCCCCAGTGTGACTGAATTGCTTTTCTATTTTTGCCCCTAGGGATTTGGGAGCTTCACTGGGATTTCACTGCATCTAAACTGTGATGATCTACATTGGCTGCTTTTCCTAAAATGTCTTTCCTCTCCTTTCAGCTCTGTCTGACCTGGAGCTTGTGGCCCAGTCAATTATCATTATTTTTGCTGCCTATGACACAACTAGCACCACTCTCCCCTTCATTATGTATGAACTGGCCACTCACCCTGATGTCCAGCAGAAACTGCAGGAGGAGATTGACGCAGTTTTGCCCAATAAGGTGAGTGGACGATCCCTGGAGAAGGAGGGAAGAAGTGAAGCCTCAGCAAAATCCCTCCTCACCATCTGCCAGGAGAATTTTTTCAAAAAGTGTAAGCATCAGTTCTTTCATATACTCTATGCATAAAGGCTCTAAGAGGAAAAACAAAGGGAGAAAAAAGTAGTGGATGCTTTTTTTTTTTTTTTTTTTTTTTTTTTGAGACGGAGTCTTTCTGTACCGGCTGAGTGCAGTGGGATTCTCACTGCAAGCTCGCTCCCGGTTTGCCATTCTCTGCTCAGCTCTGAGTAGTGGACTAAGGCCCCACTCGCCGCTAGTTTTTTTATTTTAGTAAGACGGTTTCACGTGTTAGCAGATGTCGATTCTGACTATCCCGTTCGGCTCCAAAGTGGATACAGCTTGGCACGGCCGGGTGGATGCTTCTTGCAGAAGATCTTTGTAAAACAGTGCCGATCCTGCTGCATCCATTATCTGTTACCAACATAACACCAAGTAAAAAAATATCCAGAAACCTCAATGGCATCTAAAAACAACCATTCATTGCTCACAAGTCTGGATAGTGAGTTCTGCTGATATTGGCCGGACTCACTCTGTTCTGGCTGTTGGTCTGATGGAGCCTGGCACTGGGTGCGCTGGGCAGGCTGACTCAGCTCTGCCTCACACCTCTCTCATGCTCCAGTCAAGTAGCTAATGGTGAAGAAGCCAAGCTAGGAACCAGGGTGCCTGACACCTGGGCCAAACACTTACCCTCTACAATATTACCTTCCAAATATAACACCAAATGCTAGTCACGTATTACCCACACTGTTTTCAGAATTCTGCCAGAATTGGAATTCTTTGTGGTGTAATGAGACCTGGCCTTGGGGCTGGCCCTGGTTTGGCAGTGAGGTGAACACAAAGGAATGTTCATCTAAGCTCACGGTCCAGGCCTAAAGGAACAAGTGGGAGACTGTTCGAGAAAGAGAGGATGGGGCTGCATGGAGGGTTCCTATCCTGTTTATAACTCTCAATAGCACTGAAATTGTGTGCCCTCTCCAGTTATAAAGTTCTTTTGTCAGCCGGGCACGGTGGTTCACGCCTGTAATCCCAGCACTTTGGGAGGCCAAGGCGGGCAGGTCACAAGGTCAGGAGATCAAGACCATCCTGGCTAACACAGTGAAACTCCGTCTCTACTAAAAAAGACAAAAAAATTAGCCGGGTGTGGTGGCGGGTGCCTGTAGTCCCAGCTACTAGGGAGGCTGAGGCAGGAGAATGGTGTGAACCCAGGAGGCGGAGCTTGCAGTGAGCCGAGATCGCACTACTGCACTCCAGCTTGAGCAATAGAGCAAGACTCCGTCTCCAAAAAAAAAAGTTCTTTTGTCATATTTGGGTTACAAAGGAACTAGTTTATTCCCAAACTATTTATAAAGTTTTTAAATAACACAGCGTTACTCTCCACATTTTTTTTTTTTTTTTTGGGATGGAGTCTTGCTTCGTCACCCAGGGTGTAGAGCAGTACGGTGATCTCGGCTCACTGCAACCTTCGCCTCCAGGGTTCAAGTGATTCTCGTGCCTCAGCCACCCAAATAACTGGGATTACAGGCGTGTGCTACTATGCCCGGCTAATTTTTATATTTTTAATAGACACAGGGTTTCGCCATGTTGGCCAGGCTGGTCTCAAACTCTTGACCTCAAGTGATCCACCCACCTCGGCCTCCCAAAGTGTTGGAATTACAGGCATGAGTCACTATGCCCAGTCTAAACAGGACTTTTCAATTTTAAATGGTTGTATGAAATAGAGGATTTGCTTTTTTACATTTTCTCTTTCCTTGGTATAGATGCATAGCCTCTCTTTGGAAAGGTGACACTGGCTTAGGCATATTTTAGGTGATTCAAATGGCCATCGTCTAATAGTCATGCTTGTTCACCCAAGAAAGAAAACACATGAAATGGTAACATCAAGGATTTCAGTCTCTGTGTAGGGGATTGTGCCAAATTCATAACTCCTCCACACATCTCAATGGGCCATTGAGCACATTGCTGCGTATGGACAGTTATTAAAATAGTTTATAAATGCAACAATCTTTTACCAGTACGAGTTATTCTCTGGAGCTCCTAACACTTCAATAGTACTGCATGGACTAAGTTGAAAGTTAATTCCAAATCTCAATTTATCCAAATCTGTTTCTCTTTTCCCAGGCACCTGTCACTTACGATGCCCTGGTACAGATGGAGTACCTTGACATAGTGGCGAATGAAACGCTCAGATTATTCCCAGTTGTTAGTAGAGTTACAAGAGTCTGCAAAAAAGATATTGAAATCAATGGGGTGTTCATTCCCAAAGGGTTAGCAGTGATGGTTCCAATCTACGCTCTTCACCATGACCCAAAGTACTGGACAGAGCCTGAGAAGTTCTGCCCTGAAAGGTACAAGGCCCCTGGGAAGGGAGCCCTCCCTCAACTAGCCTGGTGGAAGTATATTCTGCCTCTCTCAATGCACATAGCAATCATTTGAATATGTGCTTTTTTATTTTGGAAGTTTTTTATTACAAAATGATAACTGTCAAACTTTACAAACCATAGATTAGGAAACACCTTATAACAACCCTCATTAACTATGTAATGCATGTCTTATAGGCATTTTTCTATGCATACAGACATTGTTAAAAATTAGTACACTATCACATTTTATTTGAGTTTGAACTGCTGCTTACTTCATTTCAAAGTAAACCATAACCTATCTACTATCTTATGTTACTACATATTTATGTATGCATAAGCTGTAATTCATTTCACCATGACGTTATTTTGAGTATATAAGCTTGTTATTCATTTCAGTGTTTCTTTGCCGTGCCCTTTAGCACTCTGAATTTAGCACCATGTTTAGGACATGTTTCCACATTCCTTTTTTTTTCAACATTGCTTGCGGTTTTCCGTAATGTAATTGTAAAAGTGCAAGCTGAGGTCCTGAGACATCCTCATCCCTGATGGTTTAAACCACTTCATTGACGACAGAGGGAAGCAGAGATTCTCCTGGTCCTGTCTGTGTCTGCAGTCCTGTGCCAGCTCCCTTATACTCTCAGTTGTTGGTGACTCTTCCAAAGCAAAGTCACCTGCTTTCTAGACTTCTCGAGAAGTTCCTCCTTGGAAGTGTTGGGCATGATCTTCTGGGAATTCAGAGCCAAGGTCAGGCTTTGGGCACAGTTTGCACTCTGGAAATAGTTGATATTTTCCCATTTTGGAAAGGAAAATTTGGAATGAACTTTGTAGGGCACTGGTTGGTGAGGCCTGGGATCTAGACTTTTATTGGCCCCTAACTGTAAACTTCCCAATGGCGGGGACCTTGTCTTGTTAGGCATGCTGTCCCTACTGCTGGCACAGACTCTGTACATAATACTTGTTGAAAGAGCAAATCTGAATTGACCAAGTTCTCTGTTTTCTGGAGTAGAGGACTTCTGTGTTTCCTCCATCTCGGCACTTCCGCCTCCTGTGGCTGCACCAACACAAAATCAGAGACCGCTCACTGCACTTCTCTTTGCATCATTCAGTCACCAAACAGATAGTAAGTGGGTACCGTGTGTCAGGAACTGGACCAGGCAGTGAGAAATCCATATACTAAAAAAAAGTCTGTTGTGAAGAATGTTTGACATATACATAACTATCATCTATAGACACCAAGCTATAGAATAGTATTAATGCATCCCCGTGTGTTCATAACCTGTCTCAACAGTCAATACTGCATGTCAGCTGCCCTGTCCACACACCATCACAATCCTCTCTGTGACTACAATGCTATCTTGAAGCAATAACCTGTAACTATTTCAGAATTTTCTCTAAAATATAAGTACTCTTTTAAAAACACATAACCACAAGGGCATTATCACTTTCCTCCATCAAAATTTTTTCTCAATATAATCAAATATTGAGGAATCAAATTTGAATAAACATGGGTTTAACCTTCAAAAAATGTATAGCCAGCCAGGTGCGGTGGCTAACGCCTGTAATACCAGCACTTTGGGAGGCTGAGGTGGGGCTCGCCTCCCAAAAGCCACCATGCCTGGCCTAACGTGTAGTTTTAATAGTTTTTATGTTTCATTAACTTGTTTTTATCTACTTCTGTGAAACTAGGTTCAGTAAGAAGAACAAGGACAGCATAGATCCTTACAGATACATACCTTTTGGAGCTGGACCCCGAAACTGCATTGGCATGAGGTTTGCTCTCACAAACATAAAACTAGCTGTCATTAAAGCACTGCAGAACTTCTCCTTCGAACCTTGTGAAGAAACTCAGGTCAGTAAACTTTCTTATAAATAATGTTTATTGGGAGTTTTTTAAACTGAAAAGTCTATGTATTTTTTTAAATTATTGTTCATCTTTCAATAATTTGCTCTGTGGGACAAAGAATCTAATTGGAGCTATCTATAATCCTTAAAGATGAATCTCTTCTGGAGTTCAAAATCTGTGACTTTATAAAGACAGAACTATAAAGATCATCTAATATCAATATAGATTAGCATGGTATAATTAAGTTCAGTCTCTGTGAACTTGGGCAAATTTTAAATTCAGTTTCATGTCAACTGTAAAGATAAGGAAGTGTTTTGCACAATCATGAAGTGCAATGATTACTTTGTCAGGACTTTTGAATGGTGCTTTCCTCCACTAGAACTTGCAGAAGCCTTCTCATGACAGTGTTTCTCAACCACTAACTATACATTGGAATCACTGGGGAGCTTCAAAAATTCATGTTGCCTGGATCATCTCACAAATTCTAAACTAATTTGTCCAGAGTTGTGGCTTTAAAAGCTCTCCCATTGGTTCTCACGTGAAGCCAATGTTGAGAATCACTAATTTAAGGCATTTCTGCCAGATAGAAAAGATGCTCATAGTCCAAGGTCATCCTGACCTTTTGGCCTTATCTTCCAGGAGTGCTGCTTCCCTGCTTCATACAAGCTGTACATCTTTTCACCCCAATAATAGCTCTATAAATGTTCTTCTTTTCCTTCTCATTTTGTTCTTATCCTACAAGTCCTACATCAATTTCCCAAGCCACTCTAAGAAACCTTCCCCATCGAGTACAGGGCCAATTATTCTTCTGCTTTGTTACAGTTTATTGCAGGCTGGTATCACCTAATTTTATACTTTTCATTACACCAATCAGTTTTATCCTGTAAGTCTTTTCTCTATTCTAAGAATTTCTCCTCTCTGCCCCAATTACGTTGTTTTGTTTTAATTCTTTCATAAAAGTCCAATAGCATCTTGCAGGGGACATTATCCGTTGCAGGCATTCTATACATGTTTAAGGAGTGATTTGCAGTTGATTTGGAGTCCTTGGATACAAGTTTTAAGCTATTTAATTTTTAAATTTAACATGTGACATTTGTATATTTGAGTGTGTGTGTCGATCTACAGGAAAAACATATTCATGCCATTTGAAATGTAAAAATAATGAGTCATATTAATAGAAAGATATGGAATCCTTTCTCTGAAAAACTTAATGAATACTTGTCATTGATTTATATCAAGCAAGGCCCTATAAGTCTTATTTCTAAGACTTGTGCATTTACTATGCAACTCCTATTCTAAAGTAGGCTTTGTGCATGGGAAAGAAGAAGAATAGATAGTGTTTCAATCTTATTTGTGGCTTTAGGGAAGCTGTGTATCCATTCTCTAAGTGTGTACAAACAGAGGCTCAGCTCTGAATAAAAGCAGGTCTCTGCACACGTGGGATGGGGTGATACTCCCTGGCAAGTTCCCAAGCATCTACTAGCTGGCACTTTTCAATTTCCATGACAATTTCCCTGCCCTTCACTTAACTGAGATCAGAACATTTCTCTGCTGGCTGCTCCCCTGACACTGAAGAAGTGACTTGGTGAGAATGAGGGCTCAAAGTATTAGTCAAAACACTATAGGCCTTGAGAAGCTTCCCATTTGCATTTCCTTTGGAAATCAAGAGAAGATGTAAAAAACAAAAGCATAATGCTTCTTGAAGGTCTCTTCCCATCATTACACTGGATGGGTTCGGTTGGAAGAAGTTAATGAATTCTTTATAAGTTGAAGACTGTCCATTTAATTGAAATATATAACACCTACTGAGGATTATCTTGCAAGTTTCATCATACACAAAATTAACTTTAAATGACTTTTCTAAAATAGTTTAACATAATGCCTAATAATCTGGATTTGATTTTTTAAAATATCTCTTTGCTTAACATTTAAATAAAAAGGAACAGAAGCCAGCATGAACAATCTCAAGCCTGGCACAGAATAGATACTCAATAAACATTTTGTTAAATGATGAATGGTAAATGCTTTCACTATCCAGTCTTCACAGAGCTCACTGAACAAGTACAAAGAAACCAACATGTATGGTGCTGAAAGTAGTTTTTAAAAATCATTGCAAAGCATTACCCTTGATGTCATCTTTTTTACTTTGCTTCTATCTTTTCTTCGTTTGCTTCATTGTTTCCCAATATTCTTGTTTAACTTTTGCAGCTCCCACTGAAATTAAACAATCTACCAATTCTTCAACCAGAAAACCCTATTGTTTTAAAAGTGCACTTAAGAGATGGGATTACAAGTGGACCCTGACTTTCCCTAAGGACTTCTACTTTGTTCAAGAAAGCTGTATCCCAGAACACCAGACACTTCAAATTGCTTTGTGAATAAAACTCAGAAATGAAGATGAGCTTAACCTAATGTATTGGGTGAATAATTAGAAATGATCTACATTCATTGAGCTCTCATTGTCTGTGTAGAGTATTACACATTGCATACTATGAAGGAGGTGACAAATCAGTGCCAAATAAGTACAGTCACCTTCTCTAGTTCTCATAAGACTATCTCCTTGCCACCTCCAGTTAGTACCCTCAGGTCCTCCTGAGCTCTGATCAGAGAATAAACTTTTCTCTACAATTTTACCAACAATTTTTAATGAAAAGGAAAATTATAGTTGTGATTATTGTAGTGGCATTTATATTACATGTTCTATTTGTGATATTCTATAGTAAGTATTATATTGAGAAAGTCAATAAACACCTCTTTACAAAACTGTTATCTGATGTCTTCCTGCATATTAAAGATGAATCTACAGAATTAGATCAATGAGATCAACAACTAAATATTTTTGGTCATTACAATTGCTGGTTCTATGGGGCCTTTTACAGAACTCTAAAGGATTGATTGATTATTAATTGATTATTAATCTAGGTGTGAGTTAAACCACTGTGACTTTGCCTATTGTTTAGAAAACATATTTGTAGTTTCATTTGCCTCTTTTGAAGCACACAATTTGGTAACATTCAACTTAGGAACATATTTTTACATTATTAGTTTTGACTAAATGTTATGTATCATCTCAACTGATAGTACTGGAAGGCAGGGAACATATTTTCCTACACTTGTTCTATTTCACCTTTTACTCTCAAATGTTTTAACATAATGAACACTGAATAAGATGTGGTTTATTAGTCAGTTGATTGGGCAGCAAAGCTAAAGGCATTCATCAGTTTCAGCCGGTATCAGAGGCTGCACAGAATTCTTCGTTTTCCTTTTCTGCTTCATCCCAAAGAAATAGGGCTATATATTCCCAAATTTTCAAAATAATGTTGATATTTTGACCTCCTCCCATGGCTCATGAATGCTCTCAATGGCATCTAGAGTAGTAAATCCTTTCCAGAAGGCTTTCAATTGACTTTGCCCAGATCCATCAGAGGAATCACTATCTATGGTGGCTATAGCCTTATGAAATATATTTCTTAAATAATTAGACTTGAAAGTTAAAATTACTCTTTTATCCACAGCTGTAGAATGGATGTTTTGTTAGTAGGCATTAAAGCAACAATAATCTTTTTGTCATCTTCATCAGAGCTCTTGAATGACTAAAAGTATTATCAATGAGCAGTGATATTTTGTTTTGTTTGTTTCTATTTTATTTTATTTTAGGTTTCAGGATACATGTGCAGAACATGCAGGTTTGTTACACAGTTAAAGGGGTGCCATGGTTTGCTGCACCTATCAACCTACCACTTAGGTATTAAGCCCCACATGCATTAGCTGTTGGTCCTGATGCTCTACCTCCCCCGCCCCCGCCCAACAGGCCCCAGTGTGTTGTTCCCTGTGTTCATGTGTTCTCATTGTTCAGCTCACACTAATGAGTGAGAACTTGTGGTGTTTGGTGTTCTGTTCCTGTGTTAGTTTGCTAAGGATAACAGCTTCCAGCTTCATCCATATCCCTGCAAAGGACATGATCTCATTCCTTTTTATGGCTGCATAGTATTCCATTGTGTATATGTACCACATTTTCTTTATTCAGTCTATCATTGGCAGGCATTTGGGCTGATTCCAAATCTTTGCTATTGCGAATAGTGCTGCAATAAACAGGCTAAGTCTACCTGAAGTCAATTATTGTCTAATTTTATCTAAAATCATCTCAAGAGGCTAGACCAGCACTATTTGCTTGGGAGTTGTACTTATGTAAGGAAATTTAACTGGTAACAGATACAAGGTTTAAAAAGAAAAAACAAAGTGAAATTAATAGTAATATGATAACTCTAGTTTGCATAATGCTTATGAGCCATGAACCTAGGATTAAAGGCAAGTAATTAAATAAACCAAATGACCATAGGGAATTAGTTGAGACAGGTTGTGTAACCATGTGGCCAGTTTTTCTTATTTTGTGTATATGGGTCTCCACTTTTCCAGAGTGAGAATGAAGCCTTGATTTTTTCATCTTGCCCAAATTCCTATCTAAGGCATCTAGGGAGTCATGCCCTACAAACCATAAATTCTCATCAGATGGGTTTTATTTAACCCTATATGTCGTGACTTACTTTCCAACCTGAGTTTGGCATAACATTACGTGACAAAGAAGAAACTCAAAATATTTTACCCCAAAACATGTTTCTTTGCCATATCTTGAAATGGTCCTTTGTGGGGCATCTGTAAAGAATTTGCATCTGTAAAGAATCTCTTTTCATCATGTAGCTAGATCTTTTTCTTCCAGGCCCTCCCAATCCTGAAGTGATGAAGTAAGAGTCTAACACCTTTTAAAGTTCTGAATGGGAAATATTTGTCATCTATTGTCTCTAAGGGCAGCCACTATAAGACTTCAAAAGAACCCTGGTCTCCACAAGCTTTTTTTTTTTTTTCTTTCAATCTTAACCTGAACATTTCCTTTCTATCCATCCCAGGTGTTTAAACAAACTCAACCAGTCAGAAAATGTTTAAATTTACCTATAGCCTGGAAGCACACACCCCCTCAACATCCCACTTTGAGTTGTCCCACCTTTCTGAACCAAACCATTGTATTTCCGAAATGTATTTGATTGATGTCTCATGCCTCTCTAAAATGTATAAAACCAAGACACACCCCTATCACCTTGGGCATATGTTCTCAGTACCTCCTGAGGGCTGTGTCACAGGACATGCTCACTAATATTTGGCTCAGAATAAATCTATTCAAATATTTTACAGAGTTTGATTCTTTTCATCAACAAAAGGAAATTGCCCTAATATAGCATGTACTATTAGCAATAATGTTACCCGGAAGGGGTCCCAGTCCAGACCCCAAAAGAGGGTTCTTGGATCACTCGCAAGAAAGAATTCAGGGCAAGTTCATAGAGTAAAGTGAAAGCAAGTTTATTAAGAAGTAAAGGGATAAAAATGGCTACTTCATGACCAGAACAGCAGCATAGGCTCCTCTCTGGCCATTTTTATGTTATTTCTTGATTACATGCTAAATAAGGGGGATTATTCATGAGTTTTCCAGGAAAGGGTGGGCAATTCCCAGAACTGAGGGTTCCTCCCCTTTTTAGACCATATAGGGAAACTTCCTGACATTGCCATGTCATTTGTAAACTCTCATGGCCCTGGTGGGAGTGTCTTTTAGCATGCTAATGCATTATAATTAGCTTTTAATGATCAGTGAGGATGACCTGAGGTCACTTCCGTTGCCATTTTGGTTTGGTGGGTTTTGGCCAGCTTTTTTTACACTTGCTGTTTTGTTTTGGTTTTGGGGGTTTTTTTGGAGACGGGGTCTCACTCCATCACCAAGCCTAGAGTGCAGTAGTGCAATCTCAGCTCACTGCAACCTCTGTCTCCCAGAGTTCAAGGGATTCTCGTGCCTCATCCTCCCCCTCCCACCATCCTGAGTAGCTGAGACTACAGGAATGCACCACCACACCTGGATAATTTTTGTATTTTTAGTAGAGACGGGGTTTCACCATGTTGGCCAGGCTGATCTCAAACTCCCGACCTCAAGTGATCCGCCTGCCTCGGCCTCCCAAAATGCTGGGATTACAGACATAAGCCACCATGCCTGGCCTCATCTGCTATTATTTTAGAGTTGCAATGTGTTGCTTGTCCTTCCTCTTAACAAGTATTTTATTGCTTTTATTGAGCAAATAAAAGCAATGATCAAAACAGTGCTAGTGAAAGAATGTTTTTCTGTCTTCCCAAACTGGAGGGTAGACATTCATTTTTTTAATTTAAATATTTATTTAATTTTTATTTGGAAATATATATTCACAGAAAGTTGCCCCAAAAATGTACAGGGATGTGTCATGTACCCTTCATTTTTCCCCCAATGTTAATGTCTTCCATAACTAAGAATATAGTATACTCTTATTACTCTAGTAACAAGAAATTGACATTGACATAATCCACAGGGTTTTATTCAGATTTCACCATTTTATGAGCCCTCATTTGTGTGTATGTGTGTGTGTGTGTGTGTAGCTCTATGCAAATTCATCACATGTGTAGATTTGCATAATGCTCAGAAGAATCAAGATACAGAACTACTCCATCAGCCTATGACCCTCGTGATTCTCACCTGCTATTCTTTTATAGTCACAATGTGTAGCTTAACTTTTCTTTTTCACAAGGTTTTTTCATTACTTTTATCAAGTAAAACTTTATTTTGAGGGGACCAATTTATCAATTTTTCCTGTTATGAATTGTGTTCTTGGTATTGAGTCTGAAAATTCTTTGTGTACCGCACCTCACCCCCAATGTTTTTGTTGTTTTTCTAAAAGTTACATAGTTTTATCGTTTACGTTTAAGTCTATGATTCATTCTGCATTAATTTTTGTATAAGGTATCAGGTTTAGCTCAAGGTTCATTTCTTGGGGCCTATGGCTATTCATTGTTCCAACACCATTTTTGGAAAGGCTATCCTTCCTCCACTGAATTGCTTTTGCACTACTATCAAAAATCAGTTGGGCCGGGCACAGTGGCTCACACCTGTAATCCTAGCACTTTGGGAGGTCGAGGCAGGTGGATCACTTGACATCAGGAGTTCAAGACCAGCCTGGCCAACATGGTGAAACCCCATCTCTACTAAAAATACAAAATTAGCTGGGCTTGGTAGCCCATGCCTATAGTCCCAGCTACTTGGGAGGCTGAGGCAAAAGAATCGCTTGAACCCAGCAGGCAGAGGTTGCAGTAAGCCAAGTTCAAGCTACTGCACTCTAGCCTGGGCAACAGAGCAAGATTCTATCTTTAGAAAAAAAAATCAGGCCAGGCGCGGTGGCTCATGCCTATAATCCCAGCATTTTGGGAGGCCGAGGTGAGTGGATCACGAGGTCCGCTCAGGAGTTCGAGACCAGTATGACCAACATGGTGAAACCCCGTCTCTACTGAAAAATACAAAAATTAGCCGGGCATGGTGGTGTGCACCTGTAATCCCAGCTACTCAGGAGGCTGAGGCAGGAGAAACGCTTGAACCAGGGAGACGAAGGTTGCAGTGAGCCGAGATCACGCCATTGCACTCCAGCCTGGGTTACAGAGCAAGACTCCATGTCAAAAAAAAAAAAAAAAAAAAATCAGCTGGGCCTATTTGTGTGCATCTATTTCTCATTCTCTATTCTGTCCCACTGATCACAGCATCTTGACTATAGCAGCTGCATAGTAAGTAGTAACATCATTGCGAGTGATTTCTCCCACTTCATTTATTTTTTTCAGAAATATTTTATCTATTGTTGGTTCTTTGACTTTCTATACAATTCAGAATAAACATCAATATCTAAAAATAAACTTTCTGAAATTTTGATACAAAT